CAATAAAACTTGGTAATTATATGTAATTCCGCGTACTTTTGAGGTCCGTTTTTTAGTACTCTGTACTGAGATTATAACTTAGAATAATAACGCATAAAATGATAGTTTCATATCAAACGAATAGTCACAAGTGAGGCAAAAATCAAATTCATGTAGGCTAGTTTTAGTAGTAGGTTAATTTTCGGTTTTAGTGAATATTTATATAAAAATACAATTTGAAACGCGTTACTTCCTTGTGGAATGTGATGTTACTATCTATTTTATGTTTGTCTGACGTATTTTTACACTCATTTACCGCACATTTCGTCATTTTTGGCTAAAATTCTTGAGCTGTTCGCGGTGCAAGTTGACCTTGAGCACTGAAGGCCCGCTCGCTCGTGTAGACCCATTGGGCGCGCTTCAATTTGCCTCACTTAGCGTGTGCGGACTAGGTTTCTATGCGTTATTATTCTAAGGTTATTTATATAATATCCAGTGACGAGATGAACAAGTCGTGGGCCTGATGGTAAGCTGTCTGTCTATAACAGTTGCAGTCCCACTCAGAGCTTTAAATCAAAAAGATGTGAGGGGCACTGCCACTGCGCCCATCGCCCTGAGACATAAGTTGACAAGTCCCATATGCCTGTTATTTCCCCAGCACCCTTCTCCTTCAAAACCGGAACGCAGTAATGCTGACATTACTGCTTCGCGGCAGAAATAGGTAAGGTTACTTCCCTGGACGACCTCTTAGACAAAGAGCTCTACGGCTACCAAAATTTTAAAACTATTTTATATGAGCAGTACCTATAAAATGCCAATTACAGGATGCCACGGAAGTTTAAAACAAGCATGACGTGACTTATTTGTAGAACGCTTATGATTTAATCATTTAATTCAATGAACATAAATTAAGACAACTATATATGTATAAATAGTATATTTAAATTAGTTTACTGTGTGTCGTGTTACATATAAGACATTCAATCATGTTTATTAGAGTTGACATTAAAAGAGAACATAATATAACGAAAGGGAAGTCATAATTGAATGAGTCAGTTGTGTGAGAATGTTTGTTTTGTTACTTAGCACAAAAAAACGTACGTATCCACAAACCTTTAGCGAATTGCCTCATAATTTAGATATTCTTGCGCGATGACGATTGATGCAGAATTTTTTTCATTTATATTTACCAGAATTACGTTATCTAGTATCTGAATAAGAAGCCTATAGTTTGGCTAAAGTGACTAATTGCTTTGCTTAGCTATTCAAATTAAATAAACAGTCTGTTCATTTTGGCTTTTACAAAGTCATACAAAACTATTTTGTGAGGTGGACACAGGCAAACGTAGATAAATGAAACCAACATTGTTTTACACAAAAGAAACGTTAATTGATTGCCTGTCTCGGCAGTCGGTGCGGAATAAAACGCCATTTTGTTTGAAGGTGCAAGCCGCGACGTGGGAAATGGGGCGAAATAGAAAAGATACCATGTGGAACAAATTCCCGTCGAAATGTTACCGTGACATTTTGGCCCGGCCGGAGCTTTAGTTGGCCCAGAACAATGGTTTAGCTCTTTTTATTTTTTTTATTTTAGAGAGCCTAGCTGGGAGAATGCTTGCATTGGATCTGTATAGCAGAGCATGGCTTAAAATCCTGAACCTTGTTGAGTAAGGAGATATACACGAGTTGATAATAATAATAACGCTCACAATTAACATAGTACTAGGGAAATTCTGTGTCGCGGGTGCCATGGACACACATAAAAAACCACAAATTACACCCAAAGTCACGAGAGAAATAAATGTAGGCCATACAAATATTTCTCCCGGCCCGGGAATCAACCTGAGACCTCTGCGTGGTAGTCCATGGTAACCGATTGGGCACGGCGGCAGTTAATGATGTTGATGATGATGTTTAGATGTTTGAAATTAAACGGGTATCCGTGTGTTAAGGTTGTTTTTCCCAGAAACTATGAAACTAGTTATTTATCAATAGATACGATCCGACTGAACACGAACCAGCGTCTGTTTGCCAAAACGGGGCTACCGTTCTCACCACTTGGGCTGCAAATCGAGTCAGCAGACCTTACGAGTCTCTCTATGTCGCCTGCAAATCTTTGTATTGGGTTTAAACAGTTTTTTTGTCATTGCACCACCTGTAAGAAACTTATGAACGTATTATTTTCATAAGATATATATAAATATCATAATAGTGAACACATCATGATATTCAGTAAAATAATTATGCAACTGTAAATTCATTTTCCTAAAAAAACTTAATGTTAACCGGAATTGTTTATGAATGAGTGCAAGATTTGTTGATTTTATATAATAAATATGTAGGCGATATCTTGTTTTAGCCGCACTATATGTTAAACTAAACAATCTTGCATTAAAATAAATATTTATGTGCACGTTAATCTTTACATTTCCGTCAAGGTTTTCATTACAAACCGCGGTGTAGAAAAGTAACGTTTTACGTTATGTTGATTTTTGCAATTTCGAGAAGTTTTATTGCACCTATCATATACTATAACATAATATTCACTTCAGGACAACGAACATTATTAAAAAAGTCTGCTTTCAATTATTATTGATTCAAGAATTCCTTTAATATGCTATGATTGTGCTTTTAATATGTTATGGTACAATAGTATGTAAATAGTTTGTAATTCTATATAATAACATCTGTCAACCTTCATGAAGGAGGAGTTTTGGGTGGGGTTTGTTTTTTGAAGGGTGTCGTATATCGGTGATTCCGAGGCAAGTTACCCAACACCCTGATTGCGCTACACACCGCTACACGTCGCCGACATGTGCATTTCGTGTAGATTGGTTATTTAGTTTTTATATTATATTATACGTATGTTAGTCCTTAAGAGAGAGAGAGAGAGATATATATATATATATAATATATATATATATATCTATATATATATATAGATATATATATATATATATAATTACAAATATATAAAAATATATAATATACAAAATTACACACAAACTCACGAGAAAAATAAATGTAGGCCATTCAAATATTTCTTCCGGCCCGGGAATCGAACCTAGAACCTGACCGTTCGGCCACGGAGGCAGTCAATGCAATATTCAGTAGTGGACATCATTATGATGATGTAGAAATATATTATTATAAGCTTGTTTAAGGGGAAAGATGTTTGGGCGTCTGATACGTCACAACATAGAAACATCATACAAGGGAAGATCAGAGGAAAGAGAGGCAGAGGATGGCCGTAACGAAGTTATTTAGATCAGATAAGGGAAAAGTTAATATCGTGTCGTATCAGCAGCTTGATTGCCTCTCCCGATCGGCAACTGCGTCTCTTCCGAGTCGAGGCGCATAATTGCGATTCACAACTGGCCGATCGGAAACTTTTGACATTTCAAATCGAAACAATAGTTGATTTAACTCACAAATTAGAAATATATAGTAGGAATCAGGTTCATCTTCTCGCTTGTAAATCCATCTGATTTCGAGACTACCTGATCGCTTCGATTCCGATTTGAAACAAAATCGACATGCCAGAAATCATGCTCAAGCGCTGAACAGAGATCGTTGGATTCCATGGATTAGAGCCTAGTTCTTAAATAAGAAGAAGTATGTACTATGTATTCTACTTAATATTACTACCATTATACCCATTTATTTTTTTATATTTTATATATATTTTGTTATAATTATCAATACAAAGATTGAACACAAAAAAGTATTCCTTTGATCTGAGAGGACTCGAATTTGCATCTGTGCCTTACCAAGGCGACCGCTCTACTGAACTGCACATCGAGCCAGAACCACGACATTTTCTATGCGTTTGTTACAGACTTTTGTTTTTGGTTTTAATGACTTTTTTGCCAGAGCACCGCCTGTGAGAAATCTATGAAAGTACTTTCTTCCCTCAACCAGGTTCCTTTACAGCTACCAAACGGTTGACAAGATATGTAGCTTTATAAATTGTAATATATAATAATATAATATAACTCAATACAATATAGTAGTATATTAATATTGGCTACACTAATTGCATTAGGTTAGTCCTGGAACGATAGTTGCAAGCTTGTGTATGTAAAATAAATAAATATAAAAGAATTTCTGTTAGGCAACTTCGGCAGGCAATTTTTTTTATATAAAAAATAAGTGCGCATTTGACCTTCATCTCACCTCACACCTAAATAATGCCTATTTACTCTTACCTTGAAAAGGTCCAAGTTGTAACGTTTGGGGAATAAGTTCGCAGGTAGGGAATTCTACCCTCTAGCCGCTCGCTATATGTGTGCGAAACGCTTCATGCGAATCCTGGGAATATCCACAACATAGGGGTGGAATCCCAGCCCACGTCTAGTCTCCCGATAATGGAAAGGGGAAGGCGGAATCAAATTATGCAATTCCATCGCACACTCTCCGTGACATATCCTGTGGAATACGATAAGCAGACAACTTTACGGCGGTGCAACTAAGTCACTTATAGTGCAATTTTCATACAGTTAATTCATTACGCAAGTAACTTTTTATATAACAAATTCTTATTAGTTTTAAAACTATTTTCCAACCTGATTTTTATAATAAAATTTTTTTTTTCTTTTATAATCGTACATTACTGCCATTGTAACAACACAAAGGTCACTTACATAACTCAGGACCAAAAATGGACATCATGATGGTGTCAATTGCAAATCTATTACCCGGCGATAACTATATATATACGTAATGAATGAGAGAAACAAGATGCGTCTAATGAATGAAAATGAATTTTAAATTAACCTACATTTTATTTCCTTCCAACTCTTCTGACGGAAAGTCACGTCCACGTTTTTATACTTATTTTATGCTGCAAGTGTACATACATATTATATACACAGAAGATCGTCGAACTCATTTTATTTAATGGTCGTACTCATGATATCAAACAAGTTTAGCAAAACCTAATTTTGAGTTGTCGAAAAATACGATTTTTCGTCCTAGATTTTGTTAATACTATTTTCCTAACACTTTTTTTCTAATTTCAGGTATAGCACTACGACCTTTCGGCTTGTCGATGGTGTACGTGCTGCTCTTCTTAATATCACCGCTAGTGCAAATACCAACCACGAAAACATTGTCTGGTAAGAAATTATTTTTTGTTTCTTTACACACAAAAAAAACGCATCGTATCGGAATGTCTTGTAACAAATGGATATTATTTCATTGATACGTCAACTACAGGGGACTTAATCAAATGCTTTTGCGTCCCAGTGTTGTTTGTAGGAAACTGTTTTTTTTTTCTTTCTTTTAAAAAACACATCATATGGGAATGCATTGTAACAAATGGATTTTTTTTTATTGGTACGTCCACTATAAGGACTTTAATAAAATGTTTAATATCCCAGAGGAACTTTAATAAAATGTTTAGTATCCCAGTGTTGTTTGTACGAAACTGCTTCTTTTCTTTCTTTCCAATCAAAAAATGGGGATGCATTGTATTAATTAAATGGTACTAATACCATCTCTAAAGATTGAAAAAATGGTAGTTGTGAGAGTTCGTCTAGGAAAGTACTGCCAGTTTACCTATTTCTGCCGCCAGCTACCGCTTCATTTTTGAAGGGTGGTAGTGAAATTACAGACACATGAGACTTGTCAACTTATGTGTCAGAGTGAGGAGCCATGCGATTGCCCCTCAAATTTTGCGATTTACACCTCTGAGTGGCACTGCAACAGTCGCTTACCGCGAGACGCATGCCTTGTTCGTCCCATCTCTTGGTATAACAAAAAAAAATGGGTTACCTCATACCTTCACCATAGGGACTTTAATCATTCAAGAAGTATACCAGTGTTCTTTGTACAAAATCTTTTTTCTTTCGTTTCGTTTCGTTCTTTAATCAAATGTTTAGTGTCCCAGTCATTGACTTACAATTATATGGACGTCGGGTTCGCGCTAAAAAGTGTCCGCACTTGTAAGGCGCTAAAATCGTATACAGAGCGCGACACTCCGCTTTAGTCTTCATTTGTTCTACTGACAGCGCGATACTGCGATGACATTACAATTTAAATTTCGAATAGGTTGACTTGGGACATTTTTTTCATGGTTTTTGTATTAGACCCGTCGTCCATTTATTTGTAAGTCAATGGTCCCAGTGTTATTTGTACGTGTAACACTTTATTTCTTATTTGTTCAGGAAATACAAAACAAAGCAAATAACGGAACAACGCCTGAGTCAGAAATGCAAATATTACTGTATAGAATAGAGCATGTCGAAGTATTATTATGAAATTGCATTTAACACCACGAATTCAACTCTGGCTTCCCGGAACTCTCTGTTGATGTTATTTTAAACTTAATATGTGGAGCTGTTTTGGTACACATTGGAATTATCGCAGAGTTTAATAATTATAGACCGCATTTGGGTCAAAAGCGTAACTTTTATCGAAATAGAACGATATGGCAAGCTTAGGAATTATTCATACAAAATAAACAGAGTTACTTTTGTACATATACACACATACAAACTAGTAGCAAGGCGTGAAAATTGTCTTTAGTAAAGCCGGAGCAAAACAAAAAACACTAATACCTTAACAAACTTATTATTACACAATATAATAGTTCACTTTATTTCACTGGTTAATTATTCTACACATAAATTAAGCACAAAATGTATTAAATTTCTTTAAAATATTTATGATATTTGGTGACACGTGGAAAATGTTAGGCAAGCAGGTGGGAATCGAGTTATATGGACTTTCAATTTTATTTTATATTAAATTTAATTTTTTTTTGAAATTGCAAATTCAAAGATATTTTTATTTCATAGGTAAGCAAATTACACGTGAAAGCGTCACATTGATTAAACTCTCAACTATTCATTCATAAGACAGATTCCCCTGACACTTCTAGTGCACTATATAAAGTGCATAATGTAAGTTGACATTATTTTGTGTACAAATAAGAATTTTTATTTACAATACTTATTTAAAATATCATACATCGAAACAAGTAAAAGAAGCTAACGGGTCACTACCATGAACTTTAGATATCCAAGTACGCAGAACCTGTATAACGTTTAGTATAAAGTTTTTGTTACACTACAGTTTTAAAGAAGTAGCAAATTTTAATTTTGAAATCAACCGGTATTATAGAAACGTATACAGTTGCCTCTTAAATGAGTTTGTGGCTTTATGAAGACGACTATTAAGAAAAGCCCGTTTATTTTTACTCCTCGTGTTTATGGCTTTCACAATAAAAAAATACTTCTAATTTTAAATTTATCACTCAAAGACGCCGTGGGAATCAGATTGTAAATTGCCCTATCGGCACGTTTCTACGTTTTATATGTATTGGCGGCATTCTATTGATATGATCTTAAAGCAAAATGCCGTATACAATTACACCTTTCTCCCAATGGGGTATGCTGATAGTATGGATCTCCACTTGTACGGCCCAGGAGGTGTACCGTAGTACACACGTCAGTTGTACTACGAAAGTAATGTCAAAATTCGATACGATAGCTATCATATGAGCTTCGTTGTCACGTAGTTATCGTATTTTGTTGTAGATGTATAAGAGACTCCTCCTATATCTTTCTCTTCCTCCACTCGCTTCAGCTTTCAGCCTTGGCTGTATTGTATGTGTGCATGGAACATGTGGGTAGGTTTAGTTTCATGTAGATTCATAATCATGATTAGATTGGACGTTGATTAGATAAGACTTTAATTTCAAATGGCCCACGTGAATTTGAACAATTATGTGTGTTGTATTTAAGAGTAACATATGGCAGCACTGCAAAATCACATCCATATGTGACATATGAACAAACGATAATTTTTTTTAACAACAACATGATGCTGTATCAAGCTTTTTTCTACGTGAATAATGTAGATAATATTATATTTGCAAGTTGATTCTGTATTTCGTAATCAAAGTAGTGTAGTAATGTTTGAATTCATAATAAATCCATATCAGTTGATTCATAATTCATAATTTTTGAAATAGCAATGAAAGGGCGCAGGCTCAGCATGTCTAAGTTGCTGGTTTTCAGTCAGTACCAACGTGAGGGACTAAATGTAAAAGTAAGTTATGTGCATAAAAATAATCAAAAACGGCTACGACTAATGTTATTCATTGGAATAATATCTAATAACGCGTGAATAGTGCATCTAAAATAAGCAATTGCACATGTACGCATCTCATATGCGAATGTAACTATAGGTAACTAACTGTAAGTGTAAATGTGAATGAAAATTTGTTTTAGTGTAATAAAACAAAGTGATTGTCCGTAAAAGCCGAGCAAATCTGAATACATTTAACATTTTATTGTTTATGTTTATAATAATGTATCAAATGATGGCGATTAATTAAATAAATTTATATTTACTCACTACCATGAATTTACATTTATTTAATCGTTAGTTGTACGACTTGGATGTTCGAAAGCTGGTTTATCGATAAGCATACCGGTGTTATTAACAAATCCTCCAGTTGTTAAACTGTGAAATTATTATTTATAATAAAGCAGTTAAAAATATATTTTATTTTTATGATCACTTTCTATAATTATCGCGGCTAAAAGCGTATTTATAGTTTTTTATCGGCTCAGCCTGTATTTGGTTCCTTCCTCGAGTGACTACGGAACATTAATTACCAACATTATTAGATATTTGAGGGATTAATAAAGTCATTTATTGCGGAAGAAATGGCTTATGTTCAACGCGAAAAGAAGTCGTTTGAAACTAGTGTACTTAAACCTCAACTATGTGTGTAGTATATACTAGGAGCAAACTACTAGTAACAATGTATTGTATGACTCAGATGGCATATTTGCCACATGTGTTCCACAGCTATAGAATTCACAAATGAAATGCAGTGATATATATCACTTCGAGATTCAAGTTTTTTTGTAAAGTAAGATCAGAATTTGAGTTCGTGTTCGTGTTGTTGGCGTACACTAATGAAATTAAAATCTCTGTTCTCTGTTGCAGGTTGGCGTGGCAAATACCTTATATTAGTCATGATATTGTCATGTCTGCTTCTCATAGTGCACATAGCATGGCATATTACCCTGGCCAGTTTCGCGCCTTACGGCAAGCTTCTTACGAAGTTTCCCCTATTAGAGAGGATCTGCCACAACTTGGGATTTGTAGCTTATATTAAGACACCTACGCTTATGATCATCCACTATCTGGCACCCGAGGTAAGTGACAATTACATTGAGATTTCTCTTGCATTTTACTATAATAGGTACAACTTTAAATTTATATGTGCTATTAATTTACGACTTTAAAATATTTAACTGTCTAAATGTATTCGATCGACACAAAGTGCGAGATACTGCTATTCTCGCATAGAGATGCGAGAATAGCAGTATCTCTCTCTCTCTCTCTATCTAATCAGTATAGTCGCTCTCGCGCAAGTCGCGTTAGCCCTTCGAGTCTAGGCCTACAGGTATAATCAAAGATTGTCATATAATTATTGCGAGTAATTCTGTTTTTTGTGCCTACTCAAAAGTTCACATTAATGGAGGTTACAATGTTTATGAATTTAGTCGGCGGTATATTTGTTTTTCAAACAAACTAACGTCAAAGTCGGCGGATGCCGCGATATTACAGCGAACTCTACGATACACTGAAAGCTGATTAAAAAATGCCGGAAATAAAAAGTGTAAATTTTAGGCTAAATTATTATTTAATCATGGGAACAATTTTAGGAATACAGAGCTGATTTTTTTTCATATGATACATAATAATATTCCTGATAACTTTTATTCTTATGTAACTTCGTGAAAAGCTGATTGTTTCAGAGAAAAAAAATTAAGTTTTTTTTGTTTGGAGAAATAAAACATTAACTTTTTACCTCGAAATGTAGAAAAATGTAATGTGTGTGATTTATTTACAGTATAGGTCCAATCATTCTCTATCAAGTAAAAAATAATCCATCCGCAGGTACTTGTGATTTTACGAGTAAAAAGGTGGCAAATTTTTAGATTTGTTATTTATTTTTTAACACAATATACACTAGTATACTTCTAGTATAGTTCTACTTAACTTTCGTGTTATTGTTATAACACTCTCTAAATTACACTAAAATTATTTTTTCTTTAGTCCAAGCTCATGTACTTTGTTCAGAAAGTACATAAAAAAATTGGCAATTTTGCCGCACCTTTACTTACAAAGCCGCAAGTACATGCAGACAGATTATTTTTTCTACATAGAAAATGATTGGAACTATACTGTAAGTAACCCACGCACATTACATTTTCGTATACTTTGAGATAAAAAATAAAATGTATATTTCTCCATACAAAAAATAATTATTTTTTTACTCCGAAACTATCAATTTTTTAAGAAATTATACATAGAATGAAAGTTGTTAGGAATGTTATTATCTATCACAAAATAAAAAATTAGCTCGATACTCCACAAGTTATTCCTATGTCCACGCATTATCAATTTGGGCCCACTGTGCGCCGGTTTGCGCTGGCCCAAACTATCACAACTAGCACTAGTCATTTTTTTTCAGGGAAATGTATAATGGTTTTGCACTTAACATCTTGAACTGTAACTCGTGTTAATCTCTTTTTTAATTAGTTATATTGACTATACATCATATAAATAAAATGTAAGACATACGACGATTAGTGGCGCATGTTTACTTTTGAAAAATGAGTAAGATCGTGTGAAGAGAGGGATATGTTTGAACAAATGATTTAAGTAGGTTATTTCCTATTTGACAATCACACGTGCACGGTGAAGAAAAGGCAAGCTGCATTTAGGTGTATAGTAGATACATAAACAGAAATAGTCCACGGCTTCGTTTACATTCCTCTATATTTCGTTAAAGGAGACTAAGAGCCAAAGCACATGGCGTATTTTAGGCGCCTATGAAGCGCAGACGACCCCCGTTAACGCGATTCAAACGAAATTCTGTCGCAGTCAGTAAACCTTTACGAATTTAGTGGCGCCTTAAACGCGCGTTCGTGAAACGCGCGACATCTGCTCGTAGACGATACAAACTGTTAAGTAATTTTACATTAAGACTATGTTATATTATTTTTAAAAAACATGCTCAGGAGGTGTCAATGTTTCTTGTTCTAGATTGTCACAAAACTAGTTTGCGAGCTAATTAAACAAGTTTATTTCATGGCAATTCTCGCATTTTTTTTATTAATATTGCTGCTGATAGCGGAGCGGCGCAGTGGCGTGGCGTGACCACACGTCCCTCCCCTACCTCTTTCCTTCGCGTATTAACGCGCGTAAAACACGATTCAATCGCGACACAAACTCACGTGAAAAGCGATTGTAACGAGCTTCAACATCGAACGCGCTTCGCACGCTCGTTTTATAGCTTTGTGCGCGCGTTTAAATCGATACAAACACAACAATCTGCTTTTTGAGTCTATAAGGCGCGTCTTCTGCGTAAAAAATACACCGTATGCATAGATAGCTATAAGGAATGTTTTAGAGGTAGGCAACATGGTCTCTTTCCATTGCGATTAACACGTATCAGTTGCAATGCAAAGTTTAACAGCAATATTCCTAGATTTGAAGTGGCTTATGCTAGCCGAGTGGATTGGCTTTTAAAAAGATTTTCTCTATTGTACTGTTATGTTTATTCCAGTTAGTTATGACCGGCACCTCTGTACTCGTACACCTAGCAGTGAAGCGCCTCCTTACACGCGGTACTCTTGATGAGAAGGACCCCAAGTATCAGCAATTTCCATTGCTCACCACAGCCGGTACGTTCCTCGAGCAATTTAAAGAACTGGGTACAATTGAACACTTAGCTTTACTCTTTAGTCTCTATAGCATTGATAGTGATGATTGAATATATAATGTATCGTAATTTAAATATACTTACGGTGCTCTGGATTCTATTGAATGTCCTAGAATGTTTATGTTCAATGTTATAACATAATAACTTTTTTATTATTAAAAATTACAACTACTTTACTGTGCCTACTTGCTGCTTACTTGTACTTTTAACTTTTTTTGATTAGTCGTTAATTACAAGGACTATTAATGTTATAATAAGTGAGCGGCCTTAATGTACAACATCTAAAATAAAGTTGTCTATTTAACGTACATAACTGTTCATACAGAAGCTCGTATAAAACAAAAAAAAACCTATAACCAAAATAAACCATTGTTTGCTTAGAATTAGTTGTTTGGGTAACAGATATCAATGTCTGTTCGATATCAATAATAATGTATGCTGTAATATTTTTTCAGGGAAATATTTATGCCTGTTCCTGATAATGTTCTCTGGGATAATGCGGCCGAGCATCACCTCAGGAATTTACTTTCTGATATTCATGGGCGCAGCGACGGCGTGGTCGCTAGGTAAACCGCTTGAAAAGGGGTTTGCTGTCGTCGGCCGATGCCTAATGGGAATCATGATCTTACACATAATGGTGTTGATTGTATATCAGTGCAATTATATCAACGAATTGTACCCGCCTGAGCAGAGCTTTGCCAGGTAATCAAAAAAAAAAAAAAAAAAGGTAATAAGTATCAAATAAAAGTAACTGTGGATAATTTTCAAGTTAATTTACCTAATTTCGGTGGCAATTTGTATTATTTAAGTATTCTAGAATATTATCATGAACCATTATTTAATATTCGAGTGTAGTAACCAGAAATATTAAGATTTAATATTTCACGACAAAATACTCAAATACTTAATAAAAATTGCCACCAAAATGAGGTAGAGAAAACTAACCTGAAAATAACTCCTAGGTGCGATACTGCTGACAAGTAAGCTTGTACCCCGCTTAATAGTAATGTTGTTCTATCGAGCAGTTTGATACAATACATCAATATTTGACCTAAATAACAATTGGCTATTTAGGGCGATATTTATATATTCGCTTATTATATTCGCTAAATTGAAGCGCACTACGTATTTTTCGTTCATATTGCATGGACATAAAGGTTCTTTTGGTTCGTAATGCGGAAGACTTTCCAGTGGTATTGATATTTTGAGTTTTCGGCTCAGTGATGCTATTTAAATCGCTGTTTCTACGAATTATTTGTCACTATTGTGATAGTGTTACCGCTTACAAATTGACTGTCAAACTTTTGAGTGTCTCTCTCAAAACCAATGTTTCTACAGAATATTGCACCGGTCTTTTCCAAGAAATTGATTACCACACATATTTGATAAGTTGGTCCAATTAGCGTAGGTGCCATAACATTACTGTAATAAAAACGAGAAGTGCAATATTACTATTGCACTTCTCGTTTTTATTAAAATTCACCATTATCAGTCTTGTCTCCACTACAAAATCTTGATATTGATTGGTAGTAGTTTCAAATTTAAAAAGAATTGTATTGTTTATATAATTTAAACTTTACCTTATTGGCATATCGTTGAAAGTTCAACACCATCAATACCTATTATTACAAGTTACGACGTTTTGGTATTATATTTAAATTTCAATATTTTAGGTTAGGTTAGGTTCATTGCTGAAGGACGACAAATTAGTGATTAATTTAGATCTCCAAACAAAAAGCGACCATATTGCAGGGGCATAAGTTTTACTTTCGATTCTTGTAACAAATAATTATTTCAATAAACAGCAAATTGAAAATTTATTAAAATAAGACTCCGATAATATGGAATACCACCACCACGGATTTTTGTTGCGGCTATCATTTTTGCACTCTAAAACAGCACAATAAGGCATTTTTCTAGGATTTCAGAAAATTTGCTGAAGAATAACACAACCATACCATACAAAGCAAAAATGGCTGATTGGGCTCAGATAGGTCTTTCGAGATCTTACGACATAGTTGGCAAGCGTTTGACGCTAACTGGCCACTTCTACTGAATTTATTGTTCTGTGATTTAGACGCGCAGTGACAGCGCCACTGTCACTGCGCTTGTTACTTTTGCAATCAGAAATAGTGAACTAAAAACTACTGAAGCGCGACAAACGCGTGGCTGCTACGCCATAGTGGCACCACTGCAACGTTTCTACAAGCGTCTAATTTGAAGACGCCCGGTCTGTCAATCAACTATTTTAAATATTTTATGAGTACTATTCATTTTCAGTTGTATATAAATCAATTTATTAAATTTTAGAATTACAAAAAAAATTAAAATTATTGAATTTTAATACCAATTGAGTGAAATGAATACTTACAATTCACTTACAAATTAAAACTGAGCTTTAGCATACATTGTTTTTATTGTTCAATGTATTTATGTGTAATAAATTTACATTCTTTTTACTATGAGGATCAGAGCAAAGAAAACCACAAGTCTCAAAGTAGATGTAGTATATTTTATAAGTGTGTTTTTTAACATAAATAAATAAAAAAAAACATATCTGGGGCGCCACCCAAAATACCCTGACTTGGAAATTGAACCTGCGGACCTCCTCATCTATATTATAATAATATTTTTTTATTCCATATAAGATCATTATTGCTTTATTAGTAAATAGAGTTAATTATTCTACATAAAATAAAGCAAGTAATAGGTAGTTGTACACATTGATTGTTGAGCTCCTATTTTCCAAACTAGGCAAGCCTGTACCTTGGAAGTCGGTTCGACCACACCATTAATTCGAGCTATTTGAGTAAAAATTACAAACTTCATTGAGCGTTAGTATTAAATAGGAGCAAGGTCAATGAGTTACGTACATAAAACAAAACATGCACTAAAAATCATTTGTCTTATTCCAGATACTTCGGATTAACACAATTAGTGTCACTAAACAGCTCTACACCTTATATCTTTCACTATGACACTCGTGCCACTGACCACTGGGCGACACTTGCCAGCCCTGTGGTCATACTCTTCACATACTATGTCCTTGCTATAGAGACAAGGGAACTCTTCAAACCAAAGGTATGTTCGTATTTACACTAACTGTATGTCGAGTGCATTTGACTAACTCAGTGACTACCGAATGTACCTACGCTACTTTCAGTAATTTCTTATTGGAATCTTGCAGTTTTTCTTTATTAACGCTCTAAAGCCATGCATTTTATGGTATTAAGTACTGGGGCCTTACCATGAACTCTTACCTATTCGTACGATTCAGTTTAGGACCTACAATGAATCGTTGTGAGACAGCGCTACATGAAGTGTATATCACCATCCCGTTTTTCTGTCCTTACGAACCTATACTGAATTGTAATAAGAGTTCATGACAAGGCCCCTGGTCTCAGTGGAGTTATTTTCGCTGGCAAAGCAAAAAGTTTCAAATTTAATACCGCAAAGATTGTTTCTACAATAGAACACTTAGCCACACATCAAATTGTACAAATTTCCACTTCTTCAAACAATAAATTTAACGGTATTTAATTAACGTAAGGAAAAATTTCCAGCAAACAAATTATTCTATAAGCTGTGGTGCACCGTAGTAACATTTTAAAAACATTTTAAGTCCTAAGAAAGTTTTTTTAAATCAAATAAGATGCTAGATTTTACCAAATATATGAAATATTTTCTATTTGCCATGCTACCCAATGGGAAATAATAGGCGAAACAAAAGAGCGCATTGCCAGGCTTAGAGGCTGGTAAATTGAACGGATCTCTAGCTATCGGTGTCTCCTTCCATCGCGGGAGCCGGCACGCAACTCGCGAAAAGTGGAAATCCGCCACTAAAAAAGTCCGAGTAAGCCAAGTAAGCGATCACAGAAAGTGCACCATTGTACATAAACGTATCAGTGTACTGTATTCAAAGTATTTTTCCCATCCAGTATTGTAGTAGATTTTGAAATATTTTTCCAGTACTTTTTTTTCGGTAGTTTTAATTATGTAGCACTCTATGTTTAGATGGTTTAGGACTGAGGTGTAGCTTTAACCAGAGCTCAGGTAAACAATTCGCATTTTAATAATTTCCATTAAACCTTACTTCTTGCATCCCATTGCACCCACGACCGAGTACTGACGAGAAGGCATGCGGCTTCTGTGCTAACCAAATGAATGTTCATAAATTCGGTTTGGCATTTATTTTGTGAACAAAATTTTTGATTTTATTTTTGCAACCTGCTTTCATTCTTTTATAGGTTGCATATAAGTACATAAGTAGCAAAGCACTCCGTGGGAACACCAGTGAGACAACTCCTGTAGGTACCTCTTTTTTATTTTCTTCTTGAATGCCTAAAATGTCTTGCCTTGATTTTTTCATGTGTGAGGGAATGGCGACCTGGTGATTTTTAGTTTTATTGGGAATAATTTCAAAGCTTGGGTTGCAAGTACACAATCATTCATTGTTAAGGCCATCATTATCATCTCTATTGTATGGTATGTACTTGTTGATAATATAAAAACTGTGTTTAATTTTCTTTGTATTTAAAACGTAAATGTCGATTGTATTGTCTTTATATGTTTAATTGTGTTTGTGCTTTTGTTACATGTCTTTAAAAGTATGTTTAT